TCAGACTCTAGCCTCTCAGCTGTCTGGGGTATCTACTTTTAGCCCTGCTCTCTAAGTCACCGTAGCTGATGGTCCTCAAGTGGCTTGTTGCTCCCAAATTGCTCAGTTGTCTTGGTCTATTCAGCATTGTGACTTTGTCTCCGCAGCCAAGATTTTGCCTCTGCCATCTTATGAGCTGATTGTCAGCATGGACTGGTTGGCTTCTCGCAGCCCGATGCAGGTAGATTGGCACAACAAATGGATGCTCATTCCCTACGGTCAAGGCCACAATTGCTTGCAAGGTGAGCTGATGAGCCTGCCCACCGGTTCGGTCATTCAGGTTACCACTATCTTGTCAGATGATGCTGTAGCTCGTCAGGAGCCTGTTCCACCTGAGATTGCAGCACTCTTAATAGAGTTTCAATCTGTCTTTGCTCCTCCGGCTGGCTATCCGCCGGCATGCCATTGCGACCATGCCATTCCATTGCTTCCTAGTACCGGTCCATTTTCAGTAAGGCCCTATCGTTACTCTCCCTTGCTTAAGGATGAAATTGAGTGTCAAGTGATTGAAATGCTGCAAGCTGGACTGATCCAACCCAGTTCTAGTCCATTCTCTTCATCGGTTTTGCTGGTCAAGAAGAAGGATGGCACATATCGCTTTTGTGTGGATTTCCGACAACTCAATGCCATCACCGTCAAAGCTAAGTATCTAGTTCCAGTCATTGAAGAGCTCCTCGATGAACTCACACATGCATCTTGGTTTTCTTGCCTTGATCTGACAGCAGGTTACCACCAGATTCGTTTGCAGCGTGGGGAGGAATTCAAGACTGCCTTTCAAACTCACTCTGACCATTACGAGTTTCGTGTCATGGCTTTTGGTCTCACAGGAGCGCCAGCCACCTTTCTCAAGGCTATGAACACTACCCTCCACCCCCTGTTGCGCAAGTGTGTACTCGTTTTCTTCGACGACATTCTCATTTTCAGTCGTTCCTATGAAGAGCATGTTGAGCATTTGCGGTTGGTCTTCCAGTTGCTGCAGCAAGATCAGTGGCAGGTGAAGAGGTCCAAATGTCACTTTGCACAACAACAGCTTCGTTATTTGGGGCACGTTATCTCAGAGGAGGGCATGGCCACTGATCCTAATAAGGTTCAGGCTGTTTTGAAATGGCCTGTTCCACGGTCCGTTAAGGAATTGAGTAGCTTTTTGGGCCTACCAGGATACTACAGGCGATTTGTTAAGCACTTTGGCATCATCTCCAAACCCTTGACGGACCTTCTTCGCAAAGGTGTTGTTTATGTTTGGACAACTAGCCAGGACCAGGCCTTCTCACCTTTGAAGCATGCCCTGACAACTGCTCCGGTCTTGGCCTTACCAGATTTCAGTCGACCTTTTGTGGTGGAAACTGATGCCAGTGGCACTGGGATTGGTGCCGTGCTTATGCAAGGGGGTCATCCCTTGCCATTCCTCAGTAAAGCTTTAGGACCCCACTTGCAAGGATTATCTACATATGAGAAGGAATATATGGCTATCTTGTTGGCCCTAGAGCAATGGCACATCTATTTGCAGCATGCCGAGTTTTAGATCATCATTGATCATCGCAGCCTAGTGCAACTGACCGATCAACGGCTTCACACACCATGGCAGCAAAAGGTCTTCACCAAGCTCATTGGCCTGCAGTATCGGATTGTCTATCGCAAAGGCGCGGACAATGGCGCAGCTGATGCCCTCTCCTGTTATCCTTCTGCGCAATTGGCCACACTGTTAGTCTGTCAGGCTCAGTGGCTGGAGGCAGTAGCTGAGTCGTACTCTCATGATGATCGTGCCCAACACTTGCTTGCACAGTTGGTCGTGGCTCCAGATTAAGTGACTGACTTTACTCTTCGAGATGGTTTGCTGCGCTACAAGTCCAGAATCTGGGTGGGTGCTGTCCCTGAGTTGCATACTCGGTTGATTACAGTGGTGCACTCTACGGCTGTGGGTGGACACTCAGACATGTCAGTCACCTATCGCCGTTTGAAGCAACTCTTTGCCTGGCACGGCATGAAGTCAGCGGTCCAGTCTTTCATCGCTGCTTGTGTTGTCTGTCAGCAGGCTAAACCTGACTTCTCCAAACTGCCTGGCTTGCTGCAACCGTTGCTAGTTCCTAACGGTGCCTGATTTGTGATATCCATGGATTTTATTGAAGGCTTACCATCTTCGCACGGTTATAACTGCATCCTAGTGGTGGTGGATCTTTTTTCCAAGTATGGTCATTTCCTGCCTCTCAAGCATCCTTTTACTGCTCGATCAGTGGCTCAGTCTTTTCTATCTCAAGTCTATAAGCTACACGGTATGCCGCAAGCCATTGTCTCGGATCGCGATAAAATCTTTACAAGTCATTTCTGGCGCGAGCTATTCTAGTTGGCTAGCATTGAACTGCGGATGAGTACTGCTTATCATCCGCAAACGGATGGGCAAACGGAACGGGTCAACCAATGCCTTGAGACATACCTGCGTTGTTTCGTGCATGCTTGTCTGCATCAGTGGCGACAGTGGTTGGATCAGGCCGAGTTTTGGTATAACACCAATTGGCATTCAGCGTTGGGGCGTTCCCCTTTTGAGGTCTTGTATGGTTATGCACCACGTCATTTTTGTGTCGCCACTCATCCAGACACGCACATTACAGATTTGGCTACTTGGCTGTCGGACCGAGCTCTAATGTCGGAGGTGATTCGCCATCATCTGAACCGTGCTAATCAACGTATGAAGAAACAATCTGATGAGCATCGGTCCGAACGGCAGTTTCAGCTTGGTGATCTGGTGTTCGTCAAACTCCAACCATATGTGCAATCTTCTTTAGCACATCGCAGCAATCAGAAACTGGCCTTCAAATTCTTCGGGCCGTACCGTATTCTGGCTCGCGTGGGAGAGGTGGCTTAGAGACTTGAGCTTCCAGCTTCGTCTTCGGTGTATCTGGTGTTCCACGTTTCGCAGCTTAAGAAGTCAGTGGGGAATTCTCATTCTGTCACCAGTCACCCACCTTCTGAGGTGATTCTGTGGAGCGTTCCAGAACGCATTCTTCAAACTCGATCCATCAACAAGGGTAAGCGCTCTATCACACAAGGTTTTGTTCTGTGGTCTAACTTGCCAAGGTCTCTAGCTACTTGGGAGGACTTGGAGTTTCTTCGCCAGCAGTTTCCCTGCGCCGCCGTCTGGGACCGGCTCGGCGCGCAAGGAAGGGGGGGTGTTACGTCTGGACCGGCTTCTGTGACGAGTCCGGCAACGGATGCTGGAGATGGGCTGGAGCCGCAAGCTGAGGACGGACTGAAGCCACAGGAGATGAATGGGCCGCAGCTGTGAAGGTCCAGCCGGCCCAGGTTTGCTAACCGGCGCGTCGCGGGAGAAGAATGGGCCAAGGCGTGAAGCACAGCGTTATACATACGGAGTGTTGCGAGAATGAGGGTATCAAAGATTATTGTACAAACTATTGCTTCCGTCTGCAAACTTCCTCTGATCCCGTCCTCCTGCTCTGCTGCCTTCCCCTGCTTCAATCCTGCTACCGCCCCAAACTCTGTTACCCATACCTAAATACTGAGATCCGTTGAGTTCTGTAACATACTGTTGCGTTGCCATAGCCATACAGTGACAGCCACGGAGTGGTGCGTGCAGAGTACACGTACACGCTGCGAGTGGACGAGAAGACGGACGTGTACAGCTTCGGCGTGGTGCTGCTGGAGCTCGTCACGGGGCGCCGCCCGCTCGGCGACTTCGGCGACGACATCGACCTCGTCCACTGGGCGCGGAGCGTCGTGCCGAGACCAGGGACTGTTGGAACCGAGGATCGACGGGCGATCACGAAAACATGAATAATAGACATAGACTTGCCGGCGATGAACGCCTATATCTTGGCTTCTATTATTCAAACACACGACTCGGCTCAACCCACACAACGCTTACAAGCCGTATTTATAGCCCACACCAACACAACACCCATGCAGCCTTGCCCATCAATACGCGCACGAACGCTTCGTGCTGGTGACCGCGAACTCCTGGCCACGAGCCGCTGCTCTCTCCACAAGAATAGATCTCCATCTTGACCACAGATTTGGGCCATGAGCCATTGCTCTCCACAGGAATCAGTCTCCAGCTTGATTGTAGACTTGGCGCGCATGCATGTTCCAGCCTTCTTCGCCGAACGTCGAAGACCTGGCCAACACCGACTCGAAGCACACCAGCGCATGCACACTTGCATGCAGCCGTACACACCACGACGAACATGGCGTGGTTTATTCTAACTAACTCCCCCTAAACCACGACATCACCGTACGTCCTGCCCTACATCGGCGACATCGCCAAACAATGTCTAATCTACATGCATGGATGTGACTAAACACGTTAACAAATAACGTGACTCAACACAAGAATGCATGCACGAGACCAGGTGGAGCACGCACACTGCCTGGACTCTACACTTACGTCGGCACGTCGCACACACAACGGACTCGACCTTGACCCTGTCAATGGACTCCAACGCGAACTCGAACACGCGCTCCATCAACGACTCAACTTCGCACGCACGTCATGCAGGAACATGACGTGGTTTATTGACATCGCCGCACGTCCCGCTCTACAGGAGCGGCGGCTTTTCGGCGGCGGCGCCAAACAACGCCTCCTCCTTCCTTGGCTTAGGGATCTCTGCCATGCCGCTGATGACACGCTCCACCACGACTGTACGTGGTGCGTCATCGCAGGGGCTGCTGGGGCTCGAGTCTCCGACCTTCTTCAACGTTGACATCTTCAGCTTGCTCTCATCTTCCTAACATAGGCTCTAGATACCAATTGTTGGAACCGAGGATCGATGGACGATCACGAAAACATGAACAATAGACATAGACTTGCCGGCGACGAACGTCTGTATCTTGGCTTCTATTATTCAAACACACGACTCGGCTCAACTCACACAACGCTTACAAGCCGTATTTATAGCCCACACCAACACAACACCCATGCAGCCTTGCCCATCAATACGCGCACGAACGCTTCATGCTGGTGACCGCGAACTCCTGGCCACGAGCCGCTGCTCTCTCCACAAGAATAGGTCTCCATCTTGACCACAGACTTGGGCCATGAGCCATTGCTCTCCACAAGAATCAGTCTCCAGCTTGATTGTAGACTTGGCGAGCATGCATGTTCCAGCCTTCTTCGCCGAACGTCGAAGACCTGGCCAACACCGGCTCGAAGCACACCAGCGCATGCACACTTGCATGCAGCCGTACATACCACGACGAACATGGCGTGGTTTATTCTAACAAACTCCCCCTAAGCCATGACATCACCGTACGTCCTGCCCTACAGGAGCATCGGTTCAACGGCGACATCGCCACCTTCCCAGCGCCGCCCCTCCCCATCTCCGACACCACCGCCGTGCTCGGCCGTCGACGCCATCGCTCCATCCCTCCTGAAGGACTCCTCCTCGGCCATACCCTAATCGACGATTTCATGGCCAGGTAACCTCGTCGGTTCTCTTGATTTTTGTTTTCTTACATTTTCCTCGATTCCATTCATGGATCTGGCAGGCCGCTCCGGCCACGGCGACCCGTCATGGCAGCCTAGCGCCACCTCTGCGACCTGTCTAGGGTTAAAGGTTGTTTTTTGTCCGATTTTGACCTAGGTAATGTTAAATTTTTTTTTGCTCGATTTTTTGCTTTTTTATCGATTTGTTACACTTATAGTTTAATTTCATAGATGATGTTCTGCTCTCTCTCCTTTCTTGTTCCTGCAGTGGAGTTCATGAAGCTTAATGGTGTCACATCCACCACTATACTATCATCGCCATAACAGTAAGTTGGATGTTGTGTGGATTTAACCTATGAAATCTATTATTGAATTTGTATCTGAGTTCACCATTCTTATATTTGCGACACATACTTCTTTCCCAATTTGTGGGACAAAGGGTAACGAGGTAGAGATAGATAGATGTGTAATTTTTTTTGGGTGCCTCATCTTTTTTATTTAGTTTAATTACTATCCGTGCACCATTAAGATAGATATGCAGTTTATGTGTTATGTTTAGGGTGCCTTTCCTATCTTTTATTTAAAAGAGTAATTGCTTAGAGCATTTAGGGCCTTATTATTCTATTAGCTGAATGATTAGTATTTAAAAAAAAACTTTTCTATCGAGCCTACGTATTTTGTCCCATTGGATTGTGTTCACTGCTCAACTATGTCTCAACAATGTTTCCCTTCTATTACGGGAATAGTTAGTTTGTGTCGACGAATAGTACTATCTTTGCACAGAGCTCAGTTTGTTTGATCGGCTATTTATAGCTCTTCGGCCTTATCTTTATGCACTATTTAAAATGTCTAGATAGTACTACAGCTGGTAAGATATTTTGCTTTAAAAAACATTCTTCCCTGCCAGTAGCCAGATTACCGATGCCAGAGTGATATGCTTTTATTAGTTTCTTCATATTGAAATATGTGTCATGTTTTATGCGCATGTGCCTATTTTCCATAGTCGTCACCCTTCTTCAGAACCATCCCCTTCCAGTGTTTTATGTGCATGGTTAGTTCTACCCGTGTTGGAATTGCCAGTTATCTTGGTGCCCCTGTTTACCTGCTATTTTAGACATGTTATTTGCTACCATGGGTATATTCTTTGTTGCCCCTGCCTCTGCGAGGTAGAGGTGTCCTGCATTTCTTTCTTGTGCATAGTTGTTGCTTTGCTTTTACACTAACTGCTGGTTTCTCACTTTGGTAAGCACACATGCAGCCTGTTCGTTTCGTCGTAAACGATCGTGGATTATTTACTGCTGGTTGATTTGGTGTGAGAGAAAAATACCGTTCCAGCCTATAATCCACGATCATATACGAGCAAGCGAATAGGCTATGATCTGATTAGTTATTTATGTCACAGTCAGTGCCATAGTCTTTGTATGTAAACAAACTATACCATTATTGTGAGGAAGAATTTTGATACATGTTCCCTGAAACTCTGAAGATAAATGCTGTTGTTTTGGATTTATAGCCCTGTTGTTTTTTGCTTGCTAATCCATGTGTGACTGCAGCGAGCCCTTTATAAATAAATATAGTCCCTTCTATTATCCTCAATTAACTGTTGTTTTCACAACGTAGCATGAAACCTTTTCTCGCACATGAAGGTAGTTCAAACGCTATAGGGATGAAACATCCAGGAATACAGTAGGCTGGTCTGATCAACTGGGCTCTCCAACTAGCGCTGTGATTAGTCAAATTATGTTAGTGCACAATTTTCTCCTTTGCTTTTGTAACCATGGACTTTGGTTCGATTAACAGAGTTGGGAGTACATGTTTTGCCTCTAATTAATCTGGACATACTACATACCATCTAGGAAGAGCACTTACGTTAGAGAAACAACCACTATACTCTGATGAAATGCCAGTTCACCACACCTCTACACAGGACAACTTAACTGATGATGTACATGTTTAATAATGCTTCCTTGCTGCAGATTGTTTCTTCCTAGAATAGATTGGCATCAAAGCATTTCGCAGACAAGTATGCGGTTCCCAAGATTTATTAGATGGATACTTTGGTTGATGCATGTATACGTATATTATTATCAAAAACGTTGTGTTCAGCACAAGAGAAGGCTTTCAAATAATACTGGCTTTGCTGTCGCGATACCAATTGCCACTTCATCCAATACTTTTTTCCTTATATAAAAAGAAGTTGCCTCTAACCTTTCCTAAACACGCAAGATCTAATACTGCAGTTGGCCTCTTTGCAGATATCTAATGCCTTGAACAAAAAGCAAGAAAGAAAATAATTGTTGGCCATGCCATGTGAAGACTGGCCAAATAATGCCCTGCCTCATGCTGCAGGGGAAGAAAAAAGTATTAAGCTCCTTCATCCTTTCCATCAAAATTGTGGCATTGCTACAGCTCCGCATAGGTCTTCCCTGTTAGGTAACAAACATAATTAGCTGACACTTCTTCTAATTTAGACTGTATTATGGGTTGCTATGATGATAGGACTAACAACCTGCTTTCTGCATTATGGGTTCCAAACCACATCGTTACTATATACGACACTTGCTATGATGTTACTTTTTGTATTGATCCACCTTAGCATCCCACCTTGCTTTGACCTATTTAATTTAATTCTCTGTTATGGTTTCTTTGTTGGCCCCTAGACCTCCGGCACGGGTGAGCCGACCGCTCACCGGCATTGCCGACAACACATTATCGTTGTCGACCACACACTATGGCTAGAGGTAGAAGAAGGAAGGGAGAACAGAGCACGCACACACACAACACAAGCACCAGCGTTGGCCGGAGCTCTGCAGAACTCGCTCTCTTTACTGAGTTGTAGTGGCAAAATATATATACAACTCTACCCATTTAATCCTAGTACACAGACATGTCAGGCTGCTATGCTGCTACAGTGACTAGATGTGACAGCAGGGCTGACTTTGGCGCCGGCCCCTGCTGTGGCTATAGTGCGGCAGAAGAGCCGTTCGGCGCCTGCCCCTGCAGCGGCTACAGTGGCACAACAGGGAGCTCTTTCGGCTCCGCCTGCCCCTGTTGCGCGTTCACACAAGGGAGCAGCAGATTACTTAACAATTCTCCCCCTAATCCAGCTGCTAACCCTAGAACCCCCTCCATGTCGAACATCTTCTTCAGCTCCGTGAACCGAAGACGGCCGAGCGGCTTGGTGAGGATGTCCGCGAGTTGCCGACCAGTTTCGACGAACTCGATGACGATCTGCCCTCCATCGATACAGTCCCTAAGGAAGTGAAACTTGACGTCGATGTGCTTGCTCCAGTCGTGGAGAACCGGATTCTTCACGAGGGCGATGGCGGGCTGGTTGTCCACCATCAGTGCTGGTGGGTGAGCTTCCACACCAGTCAGCTCGCCCAACAGCCGGCGCAACCACACAGCTTGGCACTCCACTGTGGCCGCCGCCACGTACTCTGTCTCGCACGTGGACAGCGCCACCGCCTTCTGTTTCAGCGACAGCCATGAGATTAGAGCCGACCCGAGGAAAACGAGCACGCCAGAGGTGCTCCGCCGTCCGTCGATGTTCCCCGCCATGTCTGCATCGCTGAACATAGTGAGCTACAGCCTACTACCACCGGTCTTGGGGAAGACGATCCCCTGATCCACCGTCCCCTTGACGTAGTGCAGCAGTCGCTTCATCGCAGCCCAGTGATCCTCTCGGGGATCCTCCATGAAGCGGCTGACGTAGCCCACGACGAACGCAATGTCCGGCCTCATGTGGACTAGGTAGCGCAGACTGCCGATGATGCTCCGGTAGAGTGTTACATCTACCTTCGCCGTGGTACTGGCCTTCGTCAGCTTCAGTCACTCCTCCATCGGAGTCACGCACGGCTTGCACTCAGCCATGCCGCTTCGCTCCAATAGCTTCGAGGTGTACACGCTCTGCCCGAGCGTGAGCGCCTCCTTCCCCTGTCTCACCTCGATGCCGAGGTAGTAGGAGAGTGCGCCGAGATCGCTCATTCGAAAACGAGCCGCCATCTCACGTTTGAAGCTGTCGATGTCCTCCACACATGCGCCGCTGACAATCAAGTCATCCACATACATGGCGCACGATGAGCTCCTCCTTCCCCCGTCGCAGCGTGTAGAGCGCGTGCTCGGTTGCGCACCGTGTGAACCCAAGCTCGCCCAACGTGGAGTCAAGCTTGGCGTTCCATGCTCATGGGGCCTGCCACAGCCTGTAGAGCGCCTTGCGCAGTCGGAGTACCCTGTGCACCGCTCCTTTGACGGCGAAACTTATAGGTTGTCTGACAAAGACCATTTCCGCCAGCTCGCCGTTGAGGAACGCCGATTTTACATCCAGGTGATGGACGCGCCAGTCCTTCCCTGCTGCCAAAGCCAGAAGCAGTCGGACAGACTTCATGCGCGCTACCGGTGCAAATACTTTCTCAAAGTTGATGCCCTCATGCTGGACAAAGCCTCGGGCGATGAGGCACGCCTTGTGCTTGACAATGGCGCCGCGCTCATCCCGCTTGACCTTGTACACCCACTTCAGGCTGATCGGACGGTATCCTGGAGGTTGATCGATGAGCTCCCACGTCTTGTTTTCCTCGATCGCCTTCATCTCTTCCAGCATCGCCCGTCGCCAATTTGCATCGCGCTCGGCCAACGTGAACGTTGGTGGTTCCTCTGCACTGACGAGAAGCAGCTTTGGGTCATTGAGCAGCCGACCGGCCAGGCATGAGGGCCCTATGTCGCCGACGATGTCGTCCAGCCTATGGAACCGCACCTCCTCATCGTCGTGGAAGGCATCCACGAACTCAGTGATGTCGCTTAGAGGTGAGGCGAACTCGATCAGCGTTGATGGAGTTCCCTGTTCCGCCGGAGTGCTTGGCACAGCACCTGGAGTGCTCGGCACCCCAACTGCAATGCTCGGCACTACTCCTGGACCGCTCGTCACCACTCCT